TTGGCTAAGCAGCAGGGGCAGCCATAACCTGGGAAACGTACGGTCACATCCTCACATCCCAAACCAGTCACACTGAAATAATGGGGTATTGGGCTGTTAGGAAGACGATCCTGTCCCATCACCACCAGATAAGGAAACAGATCTTAAGATGGTTAAAGAAAACTTAGTCTGATAGCATCCTGTCAGGCAAGAAATCACTTATCAATGGTTGCGGTTGTGAACTTCTCATTTCTGTATGTTTTATCTTTATGGTTCCACTTTTCTATTGTTAATCTGTCTGGTTCTCTAATTGTTTCTGTCTGCTATATAATTAATTTTGCTAGGTGTAAGTTAATTAGGGTAGTGGGATATAATTAGTTAGAGAATATGTTTGGATTGGTTAGTTAAATTTCAGTAAAATGATTGGTTAAAGTATAGCTGAGAATATTACTATATAAACTGGGGTCAAATAGGAAGTGGGTGGGGAACGGAAATTGGAATTATGCTTGCTAAGTGGGGGGAGAATGGGAACAGGGAATAGGGAATGGGGAACAGGGATACAGGCAAGGCTCTGCCGCGTCAGAGCCAGGAAGAGGAGACTGGGTAAATGCTCTGCAGCGTCAGAGCCGGGAAGGGGGACACGGGTAAACGTTCTGTGGCATCAGAGCTGGGAAGGGGGACACGGGGTAAAGGCTCTGCGGCGTCAGAGCTGGGAAGGGGGAGATGGGGTAAAGGCTCTGTGGCGTCAGAGCTGGGAATGGTACACTGGGGAACAGACTCTATCAGCGTATAAAGATAAGCCCGACTGGTGTGAAGGGCTTTGGAATATGCTTGCTTGGAAACTAACCCCAATAAATATCGAATTGTTTGCACTTTGGACTTCTGGTCTTTTGCTGCTTGCTGTGTGTGTGACAAGAGCCAGGGAAGTGGGAGGGTGAAGGAAAGCCCTCTAACAGCCTAACTACAGGTAAGCATAGTAACCTAACCGACATATATATTAATGAGTTTAACTTAACCAATATACTAAACTATGGGATAGGACAGCCCAATAGTAGGAGGGTGAGGAAGTTAAGCTATGGTACAAGAGAGAAGAGCTAGGCATACCTACGCATACACAACCAGTCACCTGGACATTACTCTACATTTCAAGCTACTCTATTTACTAATTCTACTGCTGTATACACGGGAACTGCAATTTGGTGTTTCCAGAAAGGCTGTTTCCTGCCGCTTTGCTTAGTGTGAATTTTTCACATTTTTACATTCACATCACAGCTTGCTTTTAAAAGTGATTTTTAATGCTGGTGAAAGGTGCCAGATTGGCAGCTCTGGAGAAAAGACTCCTCTGCTTATCTTGTGGCAAATATGGATAGCAGCAGGGCAAGCTTCCCCTCTCCCCACTAAGATGTCTCAATCCTGGCACAGAGATCTACATCCAGAGGTAAGAAGGGTAGTTCAGTCTTAATTCTCTGTCTCGGGGGGCCTGGATCAGCATTCATGTCGTGCTCCCCGGCAGTACCCAGCCTCGGTGAGGCTAATGATCCAACTAGTGGACCAAATTCGGTGATGAATCCTGGGCATGTACCACCTGAGGCATGTCGTGCATAAGCTAAGAAGTACTTGGCCTCTTTACAGACTGTCAAAATGGCACAGGAGCCAGCAAAGAGAGCTGAAAACAGGGGCGTTAAGCCCTGGTTCCATAGGGGCAGTGTGAGTTCTTGAGAGTGTTTGCTGGTTTGTAGAGGATGGTAGGGGGCAGTGTGTTGTGACAGAAGCAGAGCCTTTGATCACGTCCTGATTGGGGGTGGGAATTCACTGATCAGGCTCCGATAAAGGCAGCCAAGCAGCCAGTCAATGGCACAGGAGCCAGCCAACCGAACTAGAAACGGGAATTCGAGTGGGAGTTTGTATGGGGAATCTGGGTGAGAGTGTCTGGTGTTCTGTTTTTGTTTTGTGTGTGTGTGTGTGTGTGTGTGTTTCTTAATAGTTACATAGGAGGGAAGACTATGAGAGCCATAGCGGCAGCAGTGGTAGTGACTAAGGAATGAAAGAAACAATGAAGATGACTGGATGTAGAAGCTGTGGGATGTACATTATCCTGGAGTAGGTATCTGAAAGATGCTCCATTTGTATGAAGTGCCGCCTGTTAAATCTGTTAGAAGAGAAGACTTGAGGTTTGGAGATGCAACCAGAAACTATGGTTGAGTTTCAAAGGAGATTCGAGCAGATGATGGAGGGAAGGTGAGAGGAGGCTGAAGGGAAAACTCAAGGCTTTCAGATGCAGGCTGGTCTGGAAAACTGTGAGGCTAGACTACTGGAGGAGGAAAGTGGCCAGTGGAAGCATGTGACTAAGAGAATAGAGGCAGAAGAAAAGAACTGGCTAGTGAAGTAGAAATAGAGCTGAGGAACAGGTTTCTGAGTTGGAAACTGAAGGGGCATGGCAGGCAGTAACAGCAGATGGGAGGGTAATGAAGAAGAGAAAAGGGGAAGAGACCATTGAGATAGCCAGAGATCAGATCCCTGGCAGGATAGAGGATTACTCACAAAAGATTGCAAGTGAGAACAAATGACAAGAGGACTTGCAGCCTGAAAGAACGGGTTGGGGAAGGCTGGAGAATCGCACCGACACCAGGAAGAGGCAGGTCTATGTGACTGGGAACTCCCTACTACGAAGATCAGACAGGCCTGTCACCAGAGCTGATCCAGAGAACTGAAGATTCTGGATAGTCTCGCTGTATAATCTCCATTCAAGAATATTAAAGGAACTGGCACATGAAATTGCAAGCTCAACAGCAAGGATTTTTAATGAATCTGTAAACTTGAGGCTCAGACCCTGTTACTGGAGAATTGCTAATATAGTACCTATTTTTAAGAAAAGGAGAAAAAAGCAATCCAGGAAACCACAGGCCTGTTGGTTTGATCTCAATTGTATGCTAGGTCTTGGAACAAATTTTGAAAGAGCAAGTAGTTAAGGACATAGAGGTCAATGGTAATTGGGATAAAACACAATATGGTTTTACAAAAGGTAGATCATTTCAGACCAACGTGATCTCTTTCTTTGAGAAGATAACTGATTTTTTAGACAAAGGAAATGAAGATGATCTAATCTACCTGGATTTCAGTAAAGCATTTGATACAGTTCTACATGGGAAATTATCAGTTGAATTGGAGAAGATGGGAATTAATATGAGGATTGAAAGGTGGGTAAGGAACTGGCTAAAGGGGAAACTACAGTGGGTCAGATTGAAAGGTGAATTGGCAGGCTGGAAGGAGGTTACTTGTGGAGTTCCTCAGGGATTGGTCTTGGGATCTATCTTATTTAACATGTTCATTAATGACCTTTGCACAAAGAGTGGGAGTGTGTTAATAAAATTTGCGGATGACACAACGTTGGGAGGTATTGTCAATATGGAGGAGGACCGGAATATCATACAAGAAAATCTGGATGATCTTGAAAATAATAGGATGAAATTTAATAATGCAAGGTCATGCACTTAGGGACTAACAACAAGAATTCTTGCTATAAGATGGGGATTTATCAGTTGGAATCAACAATGGAGTGTTATTACTATTATACAAGGGACTGGTTAGACCTCATCTAGATTAATGTGAGTGATTCTGGTCTCCCATGTCTAAGAAAGATGAATTCTAACTGGAACAAGTACAAAGATGGACTACTAGGATGATTAGAGGAATGGAGAACCTACCTTACAAGAGGAGACTTAAGGAGTGTGTCTTATTTAGCCTAACAAAACAAAGGCTCTCTATAACTACATCAGATGGAAAAATACGAGGGAGGGAGAGCAGTATTTAAGTTAAATGCCAATGTTGGCACAAGAACAAATAGCTATAAACTGGCCATAAATGAGTTTAGACTTGAAATTAGATGAAGATTTCTGACCATCAGACAAGCTATGTTCTGGAACAGCCTCCCAAGGACAGCAGTAGAGGAAAAAAAATCTAACTGGTTTCAAGACTGAGCTTGAAGGAGAGGATGTTATAATGAAACTGACTACAGTGGCATATGGCCCATCTGTGACTGCTAGTAGCAAATATCCCCAGTGATCACAGATGGGACACTAGATGGGGAGGGCTCTGAGTTACTACAGTGAATTCTTTCCCAGGTGTTTAGCTGGTGGGTCTGTCCAATATGCTCAGGGTCTAACTGATCACCCTATTTGGGGTTGGGAATGAATTTTCCCCCAGGTTAGATTGGCAGAGACCCTGGGGTTTAAATTTTGCCTTTCTCTGCCATGTGAGGCATGGGTCACAGGCTGGTTTGAACTAGAGTAAATGGTGGATTCTCTGTAACTTGAAGTCTTTAAATCAAGGGTTGAGGACTTCACTAACTCAGCCGGAGGTTGGGTGGATGAGGTTCTGTGGCCTGCGACCTACATGAGGTCAGACTAGATGACCACCATAGTCCCTTCTGGCCTTCAAGTCTGCTAGTCTAAAAGGAGCAGCAGTTGAAGTGGTGAGTTTTGTGATGTGGACTAAACTGAGACTCACTCATTTCACACAGGCCAAAGAGCCATCAGATGGTAATGCTGTAGACCTGGTGTGAATTTGAAGTGATGCTCACAGAGATGAAGGACAATCTTGTGATTAAGGCAGTGGACTGGAAATCAGGACATCTGAGTGCAATTCCTGGCCATGCCACAGGCTTCCTATTTGACCTTGGGCAAGTCACATGACCCCTCTGTGCCTTAGTTCCCTCCCCATTTGGTGTATTAGTTCTCTTTAGATTCTAAACTCTTCCCGGCTGGGATTCTCTTTTATCAGGGGCTTGTGCGATGACTAGCACGATGGGACCCTGATCTTAGACTGGGCTTCTAGCTTACTATGGTAGTACAATGGATAACTAAAACTAAGTAATGACTAGAGGTCTCTCAGTCCATTACTAATTCCTGAAACCGCTGGTGACTTACGTTTCGCACGAACGTTGTACCAAAAGGAAAAAAATCATACTTGTTCTAAAAAAAATTAAACCCTTTTTATTTGTATATTTATTTTATATATAAAAGAAATTAAAAAAAAGAACACAAACAAAATGTTTATTATGGCAATTCAGTTTTGTCAGAGCCCTCTGCTTGGGCCACTGCCTCTGGTCCACTGGAAGTTAGCAAAGTCCGCCGGTTATAATGTCCCTTTATGATGCCAGTGTTATTGTTCTCATTAAGGATTTGCTTCTGTTTTTGCCTGTTAAGAGACTGTACAAGTCCTAATACAACAGCCGCTAAGGAATACTGTCCAGTCAGTTTTCTTGGTTGTAAGATTAAAGGGTTTGGTTGTACTCTTCCTAGAAGAAAATATGTTTTGATTTTTCCTTCCTGTTCGCTGATACCTTTGACATAAATCTCTCCTCGATAGTCGAAAGCAAATCCCTTGTCTTTCAGGATTAGATACGTTTCTTCAGGCACTTGTATTCTGCCGCTTACACCCGTGCTGTCCATTCGACTAGCTAAGTTAACCGTTTTGCCCCAGATATCATATTGTGGTTTCTTAGCACCGATAACTCCTGCTACAACAGAGCCATGGCTAATACCTACAAACAAGATCAAATCAAGAGGAAACATAATTAGACAATCAGGCAAGAATGTTTGAAATACCAAGTTTGCAATTATGCTTTAGACGTTTGCTTCAGACATATTCTTTGCTGAGTTTTAGGAAAAGGGTGGAAATAAAGAGAAATAAGGACATAAAACATTGGAACTTCTATCTGGATATTGATTGTATATGGTAGCTACCACTGTATGATGTGAATATCTGTGAACTATGCATCACCTTGCCACCAATAAACTTGGTACCGTACAAGGGCTCAGGACTAGCTCTTGTTCCAAATAGGTTTGCCATCTTATGGGAGTTTGTCCTGCAAGACAAACTTGTTAGTATTACGCTATCAGGATGTGACAGCCTCATATTGTTACTTCCCATGAAAAGACATCACAACATCATGATGCAATTGCTTAAAAATGTCATAGTTTTTTAACAGCTTAGCATTGGGGGGAGGAATAGCTCAGTGGTTTGAGCATTGGCCTCCTAAACCCAGGGTTGTGAGTTCAATCCTTGAGGAGGCCACTTAGGGATCTGGGGCAAAATCAGTACTTGGTCCTGCTAGTGAAGGCAGGGGGCTCAACTCAATGACCTTTCAAGGTCCCTTCCAGTTCTAGGAGATGGGATATCTCCATTTAAAAAGAAAAAAAATTATTTGGGAAAGCTAAAATTTTCCTGCAAGCACTCCTAGTAAATTTAAGACAAGGGGTAATGCTGTAAGATTAAAAGGGTCTATATGCCTATTTTAAAAGTAAATTCAGTACCGGTGAAAGGTGATAGATACTCAGCTCTGGAGAGAAATTGCTGTAGAAAGAATAGTAAATATGGCTTGGCTTAACAGTGAAATTCTTGCTGATCTTAAACACAAAAAAGAAGCTTAC